TTACATTTATACCTACGGTTTCCATCCTTTGTACAGACATGGCATAACAATTCGAATGGTAAGTATCTCAGAGTAATGCTCTTCCGTAAATTAAAAAAAAAAAAGAACTTTCACAGATTTTTGTATCAACTTTACAAATGACTAAAGAGGGAATAGAGCTTACATGGAATCAAAACTTGATTGATGTATCAGTTTCAACTAAAACCTTGATTTGGGTTTGAAGTTGAAAATTCAAATTGATCCAAAATTTTAGGTCAAGATTTGAATCAAATGCTTTCCAAGTTATGAATTACCCAGATTTACCAATTACTTTTTTATGCAAAACATACTACTCTCAACAATAAGCGTTTGGGAAAATCAATGTAAATTAATAATAATAAATTAAAAGAATAAAGAGAAATGAAATCACATGAAGAAATGAAATGAGTCAATACAACACATTCTCTGATGGGTCCCTTATACTCAACCCCTAATAATTGTTACAGTCACAAGTAGATGTACGTGTAACAAAAAAGATCACAACAAAATATGACTTTACATCATGTAGTACAATTTTCACGACTAACAACACACACAAGAAGAATCTATCATCAATATTTTCAGCTTTACAAGAAAACATATCGACACCTCACCACAAAGTAAATACATACATGATTGATACATACATTTTTCTACAGGAAATTTCTATACACAGAAACAATTTAACAGCAATATGAAAACAAAACTCACCACCAAAAACTGCATTATTGACTAAATTGAATTGTGGTGTTAATCCACATATTTGATTGATTCTATTTGCATTCTACTTCAGGAATGGGATATGAAAATGACAGATTTGGACGGTTTGGCCATTATTTTGCATAGTGAGCAAAGGGTCATTTCCATATCATAAGATTTGAGCCTTGCTCTGACTAAATGTGATAGAAATAAAACTGTCACAAGACACAAAATATCCCTGTTGTGTATGCTCCAACAAATATGCTATCACACAAGACCTTTTTGAGAGTGTACATTGTACATAAGCAACCAGAAAACTTGAGGTAAAAATATGGAACCCTGTGGGTAAACATGAGTCTTACAGACCCTAAAAAGATAACATCTTGTCAGACAAAAAAGACAATGGGTTTCATAGCAGTGTGATAGCATAGAGTTTGCAGAAAACATTTCAGTCTTGGATGAACAGTCAACAGGATACTGTGAATTACTAAAATAAATAATTGACTGTTATTGTCCCAACAGTTGCAGAACATACCCACCTGACTTTAACCAAATTAAACAGAAAAATTGTTTGCTAAAGATTAGACTCATGTCTAAATTGGCAGTTTTGTAAATACTTTACATAAAACGTTTACTCTTTCT